ACACCACCCTCACCCCCCTCACCTTCCCCTTCCTCCCTTCCTCCCTCCCCACAAGGCTAAAGGCCGAGGAGCGGTGATTTGGGGGCAGGAGGAGGGCAGTGAGACCGAGCCAGGGTGGCCATCGACTACTTGGGGACGTGAGTCAGGGGCTTTTCACCCTTTGCTTTTTTTTTTTTTTTTTTTTTTACCACCGGGCGTTTCCCTCCCCGTGATTTAATGGCCCTGTTTTCTTTTTGGGTTTTTTTTTTTTTTTTTTCTTTTTTAGGGGTGAGGAGGAGGGAAGGCAAGGTGAAGATGCTCTGCCTGCTTCTCCTGCTCCTCCTGCTCCTTCTCCTGCTTCTCCCCAGACTTGCTCCTTTGTTAGAAAATTCCGCCTGGAAGCAGCGGGCGGGTTATTCCCCACACACGCTGCCGCACACACACGCACACACACACCGGCTCCCCATTGCCCAGGTCGCTTGGCGAATATCGTGCAAGACGCAGGGGGATAATGATAATAATAATAATTAAAAAAAAAAAAAAAAGCAACAACAGCAACAACAACAAAACCACAAACCACTTGAAAGAGCTGAGATAAAGACGAGAAAAGGAGCGAGCCCCAAAGCCAGGGACCCCGCATCTCCCCGGGCTCGGGGCGGGAAGGGGCAGGGATGAATCCCGCTCCCCCAAACCCGCCGCCTCGGGCACCCGCCGGGATGGCGCTGGGAAACGGCGCTCGGTCCAACCCCAAAAAGTCACCAAACCAAGAGAGACCGCTTGGAGCGGTGGGAAAGGGAAGGAATTGCGTGAGATGGCTTCCTCCGGGTGTCCGTGTCTGCCGGGCCAGGCCCCGCGGGGGGACGGGACGGGACGCGGGGACATTGCAGGGGGAGGCAGGGACACCGCAGCCACCCGCAGGGCTCCGGGCAGGGCCGGTGCCACCGCACACACCGCCGGCAGCATCCCGCCCCGCAGCCCCGGCCGGGGTACCCGGGCAGGGGGCGATGCGATGCTGATCCCAAATCTCTCCCCTGCCGGTGACGGGGATTAGGGACGCCGCGGTGTCCCCGGGCTCGCAGCTGGGATGTCGCTGCGGCTAGCGGGGGCGGGAGGGATTGCTCCTCTCCTTTCGGAGGAGCCCCCGGCCGCCCACACCGGCGGGGAAGGAGGGTTGTTGTTGTTGTGGGGGTCCCCTCCCGAGCCGTCTCCCCAGGACGTGGATGTGGCGGGCTGTGTGTGTTTCCTTGCCAGGCACCGATTACAAGCTAAATGGCTGACTCCAAAAGAGACTGTTTCAACCCCTTGCCGTTTGATTCATCGCCAGCACGACTCGGTGGCCACTCCCCTCTACACTCACACCAGCACCAGCCGTCACATCAAAACCCCAGCAGGCTACAGACATTGGCTACGGTAGGGAAAAAAAAGCCAGGCAAACAAATAAGAGAAGAAGAACTGAGGACCATCCCGAGGGTAAAACCATGTCCTATAAAATCTCTGCCATCCCACTCCGGCAGCTCCAGCGCTAGAAGGGAGGGCAAGTTGCCACGAAATTTCCCCAAAACTGTGATGGGCTGCACTGAAAATAGGGGGTCGGAAGGGGAGCGGTGCCCCGGGTGGCAGAGGGTCAGGTTTGGGACCAGCGGTGCTCAGAGCATCCCTCCTCTCCCCTCCGCGGAGCGGCCTGGCCCTGTCTGCCCAGCGCCGCTCCCTCTGCACAGGGTACACCCGCCCCAAAGTCTCCCCAGATCCCACTACCACCAAAAAAATAATTAAAAAAAAAAAGCAAAAGCGGAGACACGAAGGTCCTGCCCAGCCAAACCACAGCGGGATTGCTCTTGAAGTAGGTCGCTTGTGCTTTGCCGCGACCCCGACCTTCCCCCCCCGCCCCAACCTCGTCCTTCAAAGCCGAGGGTGTGCAGTGATTTGCAATGCAGCAGGAGCCACCCATCACGGGCCGGGCCCCCTCCCCGTCCCCTCAGCCCACCTGCCCTTTAGCTGCGCCCGGGACCCCTCCTCCTGTCCCTGGGCGCCTTCCGCGGAGACTCGGTCCTCCCCACACCTCCCAAAATGTCAGGGATTTCGGACAGCTCTAATCGCCTCTACCCAAGTACATACATAATTTTTTTGTTGTTGTTGTTTTTTTAAGACCCGCTGCATAGACATTTTAGGAACGAGCCGAACATCCATTTCACACCAGCTCTTACCGGGGACGGGGACGGGGGCGGGGGAAGGCAAATGACCCTTCGCAAACCCCACACCGCCAACCAAAAGCTGATTTCGGGGAAGGGGATGGGGGGTGAGGGGGGGGGAAAGATGGGGAGTGGGGAGGAGGTTACCCGAAATACCGAAGGAGGAGCAGAGAGGAGAAAAGCCCTCCACGAGCTTCAAAGCCGTCCTCTCCCAGGGCACCGCAAAGCAAC